AAAAAAAAAAAAAAAAAAAAAAAAAGAGGAAAAATAAAAAGAAAAAGGGAGATTTTAATTCAAGAGAGTTTAACGCCGGCATAAATTCTTGATCGTTTACGAAATGTGACGTTAACGCAATAGGATAAATAGATAGGATAAAAAAATAAGAAAGATTATTCTTTTCTTATAAACGTCTCGAGTTCGTTACGATTTATTAACTTTTTAATAGGCGAATAAATTAAATGAACGAAATTGAATTACACGGGAATTAACGAAGTAGAGAAAAACAAATATTGGGAAGAATGGGAATCGGACGTGACGCGAAATAGAAATTATTTAACGAAATACCGTGAGAGTATTCGCTCGACAAATTCGCACGTTTAAAATGTTGATCCCGATAATAATTTGAATTCCATCGCGTTCCATGGCCCCCGAAATCGTATCGTTTTATCAAATTTCCCGGAGCACATTTCGTAATTGAATTAACATCGACACGGGGAACAGATTCGACCACAATCACCGCTGAAAACACCCACTAATTTGCGCACCATTGTTGTTCCCCCGAATTTTCGTTCAACCGTTGATTCGTTATTTATGAGCGCATAAATGTATAATTATTGATCGATCAATCTCGATAAATTGACACGAACCGTATAATTATCCGGGAATCAAAATGCAATAACACGAATATTTCGTATTTGATCGAATATCGAAAGATAGAAATCTAGGAAGAGAGGGAATAATATATATATACATACAGCGAGAGACGAAAACGAAAGAGTTTAATTATCGATCGGATCGCATGGTTGCGATTACAACAATGGTGAATTAGTGGGAGGCGAGGAGGAGAAAGGCGAGGAATGGATGGAAAGTTGTTCGTTCCTTTTCACGCGCGTCGCATTTCTCCAATTTTATTTTTCCTATTTTTTAATCTTTTTTTTCTTTTTCCTACCGCGGCCGAAACGCAATAAAGCTCGACGGCATTTTTATTACAGACTGCGGAATCCTAATTGGAATCCCATTCCAATCGATTATTTTTTTTTTCTTTTTTTTAAAGTGCACTCCTCCGCGCTGACCGCTATAAAAAATCCCTACGTTTTTCCTCTCCTCGCGTTTTATTTATTTTTTTTCTTTTTTCTCTCCCCTTTCTTTTCTTTTCCATTCGATACGTCGAATAATATCGCTCGGATAATCGTGATTTTTCGTCGACACAAACTCCGAGTTCCCGTTTGAAATTTAATCGAGTAATTTTCATCTTGAATTGCACGCTATTGTCGGGCCACGTTCTATCGCGCGAGCCAATTAATGCCGGCGACAATTATTTCTGTGGATGGACACGAAACGAATGCACGATTTCGAAATATTTGTCGCGTGCAAACGAATTCTTTCGTTCTTTCCTTTCTTTCTTCCTTTCTTTTTTCCCACATGTTAGCGAAACAAACATTTGCACACGTATTGTATAATAAAAAAAAAAAGGATCGATCAAAAGGCCTTTAATTTACTTGCTTTTGTACCTTTCTCCTCCTACCATTTATCACGACAGAGAGAAAAAAAGAATCCGATCGGAAGAAAACATATCCAAAAATGATAAATTTGCCCCTTCTCGCTTTCATCCATTAAAAAAAGAAAAAGAAAAACGTAAAGAAAGGAGAATATAATATGTTTGTAATGTGAAAAATAACGATAAATAAAAACTTTAATATAAATAATAAACACGGAACGTTCATCGTGGAATTGAATAATCATGAAAAATTTAACGTCGATAACCTCGAACCGTTTCCTTGTTAATTTAGATCGGATCCGAGAGAGGCGAACGAACGAACGAACAAACCAAACGTTCGCAGAATGTTGAATCGCCAAAGTTTACTTACACTGGTTACCCTCTTGTGCACCGAACGCGACCAGCATTTTTGCAAGCGGCCTATTGTTGCTGAGCACCGCAACATCCAGGGGTGACAGGCCGTCGCTGTTCACGCTGAAAATTCCAATTCATATTACGGCGTTACTGGCGAAAAAATTAATTGCGCGATTTAATACTGAATCACCGTAAAAATGATCCCCACCCCCTCCTCCTCCCCAGTGAAGAGAAAGGGAAGAGAGAGAGAGAGGAATAATTTGTCATATCCAACGATCCATCTTCGTGCAAAATTGTAGAGAAAAAATTGTAGTGGAAAATTGGAGTATTTTCTACGATATTTACATATTTTATTACATTTATTACATACTTTATTTTCAAAAAAATTTATTCAAAATCAATATTTGATATACTTTAAGGCGTATTTAAAAATTACGCACGGTTAAAAAGAAAAAGATACGATCGAATCGATTAGGAGAATGAACAAGTTGGAAAATATACATGCTCGTGCTCGTCGAGATTCGAGTTGAACGTACGTACGAGTCGAAACAAATCCGAATCGCAACGTACGAAAGTTTCGAATCGACAACGCTCGAACGGAAAATAAACGATCGCCGGCGCCTATTTCCGGACGGTGATCGGTATATCAATTTCGTTCTCGGATAAACGAACCGCTTTTGCCAACTGCCGTTAGGTGAACTGGGGCATAAAAAGAGAGGAGAAGAGGATTAAACGGATTTTATCGCAAACGGCAACGGGTGGGCATTCGATTATTACGATTGCGCGCACGCACAATTGTCGATTCATGGTTATTCGCGATATTTCTCGTTTCGCGCGGGATTCGTTGCTCTCTGAAACCTTCGTTCGAGCCGATTCCGCCTCGAGAGAGATCGGAGATCGATTTTTAAACGATACGCACCCTCGAGTTCCGATCGAAATTCAGTGATCGCGCTTCACTCTACTACTAAAGAAGCGTGGAAAGTAGTATCAGGAAGAGTAATTTCTTCCTCGTTTCGAGAAAGAATCGAACTTTCCCCCTTTTTCTTTAGTAGAAGTACATACGGAACTTTGAAACTTTTTGCACGTTTCTTCTTCTTCTTCTTTTTCTTCTTCGGTTGTTGTTCGAGTTCCGGCGAAGGGGGGAATGGTTCGTGACTCTATCGCTTTATTAAATTTCTCTATGCTCCCCACTACCACTAGTTCTACTTTCTTCTTTTTTCCCAAGTTGTGAAACGAGAAGAAACGTCTTCTCCCTTCGACGGATACCCAATAAAGTATCGAAAATTAATGGCCAGGAGCCAGCCGCGTTAGCGAGAGAGAAAAAATAATAATTTTAACTTGCTCGAATGTCGATTTCGTTAGTCGAGGAGGAAAAACGTGGAGACGGATTTCCAGGGATTCGAGGAAATCTTGACGCACGTTTGACGAGCGAAACGTGACACCCAAGTAAGTTGCGGTTTAAATAGGTTACGTATATAGAGGATGAATGGCCGGGATCTACTATGGGACACGTATTGCGGAATATGGTGTCCATTTACTCGATAAAATCTAATTATCGTTGGGGAACTGCTATGTATCTAACGAGCCTTATGTCACGAATCGATACGATTACAATGTAGGAATCATGTAACGCGACGAAATGCGTGCGACAGGGGGGAGGGAGGGCTTTGTGTCTCGGCGTACGAACGTTCCATCGAACGCCAATTAACGCGAGTCAATAGGATACAAGGTAGCGGCAAATTATAATTTATCGTTCTATGGTTTGACTCTCGCCTCGTTCCGCCTTTGTCTCTGTCAACCGATTACATTTATACGAGGAGAATTCGTCATTCCGGAATAAAGTTTAAAGAAGAGACTCCTGCTTTTTCGCGGGATAATTTTGATTATCCTTCGAGTGGAGAAGTCGAGTATATCTGTTTTTTAGAATCCATCAGTTTTAACAAGTAGACAGAAGTAGTAGTAACAAGTAGATTTGAAAAAAAGAGGTTAGGAAGAGTTGTTCTCTATTTTAAAAGGACGAGTACATCGAAAAATAATTTTCACTAACGTTATACGAGGAAGAAATAGCTTTCAACAACAATTCTCAAGAGTTCTATTTTCAAATGGATTCGACGGAAATGGGTCGATCGATGAATAATATACAAAAGGATAACTATCACTCTATTCTTCGAGCATCGTTTCCTCTTCGTAATTCTCTACTTTTTTCCCGTTCCGTTTAGGAACATGGGTTTTTGGAAATATTCGTGGAAAACTTTATCCCCGAAATCGAATTTATAAGAAAGCATTAAAAGAAAATGTGCAACGAGAGAGATTCTCTGCGTCGGTCGAAAAATTTGCAACGACATAAAGATTCGTGGAAAGAAACGCATCTGGGTCGTAAACACATATTGTACGAGAGTTAAATCGAGTTTTCGCCACGCCAACGCAACGTGGAGGAGAACTAAGGAGAAGTTTTTTTGGAAAGTAAATAGACCAGCTCGAATTCTCCTCGTAAATTTCTAACCGTGGCCCAAGGAGAACGATATTTTTTACTTTCTCCGACCCGATCACACATCTTCCTCGATCGAAATCGAGTGAATCCCCGGTGTTTTATCGTAAATCGTTATCGACCAGAGAGATGTTAAACAAACGAATATCGTTCGACCCTTGAAACGAATGGGGACAGATATTCTTCGAACGAAAACTCTAAAAACTTCCCTTTTAATAATTCTGAAATGTTTGAAGTTGTCGGGACGATAGAAACGGAGAGTCGATTTTCAGATTTCAATTTTTCCTTTGAAGAAAGCCAAGATATTCCTTCATTATATTGCAATATGATAAACGAGTGTAACACGGCGATCGTTGCTTTCGAAAAGTATGGTTTATCGAGAAATTTAAAAAAAAAAAAAGAAGAATTTCGAATCCTCCAAAATCGAGCATTCAATTCTATGTTAATTGGCTTAGTTTTCTCGAGCTGGAACTGTCGGTGAAATTAATTAAGAGTTGCAATTAACCTACATCACAATTGTACGCGGAGTGCCACTCGGCCGATTCTTCGCGTTATTCTTTTTTTTTTTTACAATTTTTCAAAGCGTTACATCTTGTTTTCCGCTTGTCCGTATCCGCATGTTTAATTAAACGATGATATACGCGTTACGTTGATTTTAAGTGGACCGTGGATATGTCAACGGACAAGAGAGAAAATGAAATCTAACCGAAAAATGAAATATCCGAAAAACATCCTCACCTGTTCACGTCTACGTCCGTCGACTCTAAAATCGTTCTGGCTTTGTCCAGGTGTCCATGCTCCACAGCGGCGAAAAGAGCTGAAAAATTAAGAACCAAGAGTAACGTGAAACGTGTTTTAATAGAAAATATTATTCTCCATTTTCAAAGCGTCAAAATTAATGAAAGGAAAAGAAAAAGAAATTAGAAACAAAAAAAGTCGTGACTCACTTTACGTACATATTAATAAATAAACATATTTAACAACCAATATTATCAAACCGAAAAATACATAAAAATACACAGTTTAAAAGCTTTAAACAGAAGGATAAATTTGATTGAAGAAAAAATTCGATTCGAATAAGAAA